AAGCTAATCCTTCTCGGTCCTAAATTTCGGTACTAAGCAAACTCGTAACACTAGGGGTGTTACACTTATGTTTCAGGTGTTTCATCTTAATGTTGCAAAAGTCGATCTAGGATGTTGCATATGTTGCAATAGCAATATACATATGTTGCAAGCCTACGTTTTAATTGTTTCATGTGTTTGAGACGTTTCTTCAAATGTTTAATCTGGATGCTTTAAAAGTTGATCTGGTGTTGCACATGTTGCAATGTCCATACACGCATGTTTCAAGTGTTTCATCTGTCTTCATCATCTGGATGTTTCAAAAGTAGATCGAGCGTTGCACGGCATTGGTGGCTGGCGGAGAGTGGCTTACCGCAGGGCTTCGCCTCCTACCTCGCGCGGCGCTCCTCGCTCTCTCCTCTCCCTCTCCTCTCTTCCTTTCCCTTCCCTGCATCTCGCCGTGGTAGTTCGAGCTTGAACTGAGGGGGTGGGCACGGCACGAGGGAGTTGTGTGCGTCGGGCGCAAACGCGGGAGCTTCGTCCGGACGTCGCCGCCTCCAGAGCGGGATGGGTACGGGGCGGAGGGAGCTGTGTGCGTCGCGGTAGACTTCCCTCCATCTCGCTGTGGCAGTTCGAGCTTGAACCGAGAGGGGGTGGGCACGGGAAAGGGAGCTGCGTGCGTCAGGCGCAAGTGCGGGAGCTTCATCCGGACGTCGCCGCCTCCAGAGCGGGATGGGTACGGGGCGGAGGGAGCTGTGTGCGTCGTGGTAGAGAACGGGGTGCAGGCGTGAACGGGCACTACCGTTTATACATTTGAATGTAGGCCTCATTTAAGACTCAGGAGTACTCAAATGGGCATTTGCGTGAGGATTATTATTACGACGTATACTGGTACTGTATTAACTTTTTGGAAGTAATAAAAAAAGGCTGTCTTCCAGCTTGCGCTTGCGTGAGAAGTCTCTTTCAGAGTTTTTTCTCGTTTTGGTCCTCGTGAACCAGCCTTTTACAGTCTTTCACAATTTTTTTCTCGTTTTCAATGGGCCATCGAGGACTGAGGAGGACTGGAGGAGCCTCAGCATTTCGGTGGAAAAGGAAAAAAAAATATCGAATCCAGGGAAAGCACCTCAGCCAGCACGCGAACTTTGGAATCTCGTTTTCAATGGCCCTCGTGAACCAGCCAGTCAACAACCAGAGACAATCGATAGACACCGCACGTCCGCACCCCGCTCACCAAACGAAAACCCCAAGAAAAAGAATCAACACCGTACAATACTAATCCAATCAATGGACCTCTCAAAGGGCGATGCCTTCCAAGTCGACCGCGAGCACTCTGGCGAGCGCCTCGAGCCCCACGCCTTCGTCGCCGCCGTCCCCTCCGCCGGCGACGCGGATCATGGAGCGGACCTCGTCGTCCGCCGCGGGCATCCCAGCCCAGCCGAGGTAGTCCTTGAGGTCGTCGAACCCGACCTTGCCGTCCCCGTCCCGGTCCATGAGCCGGAAGGCGTCCTCCATGGTGGAGCGGCGCCCGGCGCCTCCCGCGGCGGCGGCGGCGGCCGCGGCGCGGCCGGCCAGCAGGCGCTCGAACTCGTCGTACTGCACGAAGCCGTCGCGGTCGGCGTCGGCGGCCGCGATCATGGCCGCGAGGTCGTCGTCGTCGAACCGCTGCTTGCCGGCGGCGGGCCCCGCGGCGGCGTAGAAGGACTTGAGGTCCTCCCGGCTGATGCGGCCGTCCCGGTCCGCGTCAAGCACGTCGAACGCCGGCCTCAGGTCGCCGCCAGCGGCGGAGAGGTCGAGCCCCAGGTACTTGCCGGTGGGACACATGCTCGCCTGCTTCGCCGGGACTCGGGAGGAGAGGACAGGGGGAAAACTCGGGAACAGTCTGGACCTCTGGATCGGAACGGAACTTGCGCTCTGCTTTTTCGCGGAAGGTCGCAGCTAATCGCGGGCTTGTGCTGTTCGTATCTCACGGGAGGCCGCTATTTATAGGCGCGGGGGACGGACTCTCCCGTCATTGAGGACGTTTTTCCCGTGGACCAGGTCCAGGATCGGTGGACGCAAAGCCCATCGCACTGACGCCGTGGGGCCTGGTGCTTTTTGCGGTGGCACCGCCGAGTCCGGTGCAGCGTGGAGTGGTGGACGAGGTGTTTGGGGCCGGCCGTGGGAGACGGTGACATGTCAACGCGGCAGGAGATACTTGGATTAATAATAATTGGTTGGTTTGAGATCTGTGATGAACTTGCGACGCACGGAGCCTCCTCAGCTTGACGGGCAGCTGGGGTCACCGTAGGTTGGACCAGGACAAACTCGAAGACGTGTTGGGTGACGTCTTTGCGGTCACACTCCACCGCTGCAGCTGGGCGTCGCTCTCCGGCTGAGATCTTCCGTGGCGTCAGCCGCCGATTCCACCGCCCCGCGCGCGCCTGTGCAATTTTCTGAGGCCGTTCCCGTGCGCTGCTACGAGTTTGCTGCTGTAGCTAACACCGAGCACCAGCACGTGGGCATATAAAGAAAAGGAAAGTTGCGAGGCCACATGGACCCTTTAATAAACATATTCCCGTCTTAAACATACATACGTATGATATTATGTTTAGCGTTTTTAAGTTACTCCCTTCGTCTAGAAAAAACTAAATTCTAGCTTTAAACCTGGACACGCGTACGGAGGGAGTAGCTAAATTCAAAGATTTTTTTTTTCTGAATCTGTTCAAAGCCTCAACGCGGTTTATATATAGCACAAATATAAACATGATTCTCCTAATGTTACCACAGCTCACGCACGTTCTAGACTTCATCAAGTCGACACCATATGGTTTCCCATTTTGAGCAATGTCGCTGCGCGGAAAGAAAAATCCAGATTCCAATTTCCATGGAGGTGGAATCCGGTGGTCCAATACCGCCGGTCGAGAAAAAGATAGGGCCGCGTTTAGTTCCACAGGATTCCAGAATTTGAAACTATGCAAAAAGAAGATTCTCCGTTACATTAAATTTGTGGTACATGCATGGAGTACTAAATGTTGACGAAATCAAAAACTAATTGCACAGTTTGATTGTACTTTGCGAGACGAACATTTTAAACCTAATTAGTCAACAATTGAATAATTATTACCAAATAAAAACAAAGCGACACTGTACAGTGTTCCTGCCGGCGCCAATTCGGCGGAACTAAACGAGGCCTAGCTTTGATTTCACGGTTTGGAGAAACGGGAAATGCCTGGGATTACATTCGCCCACAGGCCACAGGCTACGAACGCGGGTGCCCAGCGCGCGTATATTCCTGGACGAGAAGGACGCGACGTGGCAACGTGGGCACTTGGCAAAGGCAGACCAACGTGTCGTGACGAGTCGTGTGCCCGCCATTTGTTTGGACCTTGGAAACAGCCAGCCAATTACACATGCCATCAGCTACGCGACAACCGTCAGACTGGTCCAAATCGATATGGTACGACGCTAGTCGCTAGTAGTGGCCTGGCTCACTGTAGGACGGCGGTAAGCCGGTAGGAGTACGTACCGGTAAACGTAACGAACTTACCTCGGAGACGCACATGAAAACAATCATCCGTGCTAACGTAACGAACTTACCTCGGAGACGCACATGAAAACAATCAATGTTTTTTTTTCATAGTTCACGGTGAGCCGCATCGACGCCCCACCGTGATGATCCACACCTGCAACGTGCTAGGCGCAAGAAGCGGCACGCGTACCTCTCGCCGAGATGGAGCCATGGGCCAAGGTGTCTGGGTTCGAAAAGGTGGACGTCGCGGCTAGGGACGCGAGGTTGAGGAGGTCAGCAATCTGTTCTGCACCGTAGCTGGGAGCGGTCGCGTCGCTTCTCGCCCGGGGGTGCCGCGGCCTCGATGGGGCGTCGATGCAGCTCTTGCGTCGGGCGTCGCTAGGGCAGGGGGCTCCCGAACGGGGCGTCGTGGAGCTGCAGCTCCGACTCCGTCAGGCGCCTCGTCGCCGAAGAAGGGTTGCACGGCAACCAGGCGCGCGGCCACGCTACGGTGACGTCTAGAAAAAATAAATCATAAAGCTAAAAAATAAATCACCCGATGAAAGGAACACAAATTCACAAACTAACGAAACAAAAAAAACACTTGATTTTCACACATCATCCCCTGTACACAATGACAAATACTTAAACCTAGATAGCTGAATTGCAGGAAGCTGCAGGAATGACAAATACCACGATAATTCATATGTGAACGTGGGATCTTCGTGGGTATTTGCAAAATCGAGATGCTCGTGGTCAGACTTGGTGTGTGCTCTTCATGATGTTTGCAAAATCGAGATGCTCGTCACCAGACTTGCAAAATCGAGATGCTTGTCATCCGCATATGATGATGGAGATCCTAGCATGACCATCGGAGGAAATGTGTAAGTATTTGGCACCAACTTGATTTTCATCAGACAATGATATTGACATTTTCTCGGTCAGTTCAACGGACATGGCTGAGCCCCACATAAACAATGCTACAAGCTAACAGTAATTCAACAATCCATATACATGGAAACTAACCTTGCCAAAAACCATATGTAGGATAGGAGGCATTGGTGGTACTCATGTGGTGACTTCAAAGCCATAGAAGCTGCCAACTGGGTCTCTAAATGCACGTGTCTACAAACCATCATCTGTAACCCCTGAAACAAAAACTCCCACATCAGTACGTTTCGAGCAAACTCCCACAGATGAGCAACTTGCCTAGCTCTCCACCTTTGTGGAACTAAATGAGCTAGCAAAATTTGATGCTGGAAAACAATCATCACCAACCCTTAACCAGCACTTCGTGCTCATGTCAAAAAAATAAAGCATGGTTGCTATGAAGGACGACTAAGGGAAAACAACATCTTGAGAATTTAGCAGATATTACCTTTACTGCACCTGTCGACAAGGCAAATATAACTACTAAGCGCCAACCATTTCAGCAAACACCTTATGCAACAAAGTTCAGAATAGCCATCTCAGGTTGTAAGTGAGAACTAAAGACCGGATGAACAAATAATTATCAGCATGATTGGCCGATGACTCATCTGGAGATGCAACCAAAGATAAAGAAGCCAATGAGGCATATGAAGCCAATGACTTCTTCTCGGCTTTGGCCACGCCATCAGCATCTTTGGAAATACAAGTTGGATAATCTGCAATTTGATTAGTATTTCAGTTTATGTTGATGGATGGAAATCAATTCAGAAATCACTGGCCAACAAAAAAAATGATTGATCAACTAACTAAATAGTATATTGCCCGTTAGTAAAAGTTAATTAACAGAATAAATCAGGAGATACGTACGTCTGCAGTACATTATTCAACACTAACTTACTGCTAGCACAGTGCATTCTGCTATTTTAAAATAACACCACTGTTCTTCTAAAACAGCCAAATTACATTGCAGAAAAAATAATTGCATCCGATTTTTATCAATGGAACAGGGAAGACATGAGAAGCATGTAACATCAGGAGGAATTCAACAAAAACAAATCATAGAAAAAATAGACAACAAAATTATGAGGCACAACAAAGGAAAAAAGGTTAATTTCGTGAGCCAAGAGATTACATAAAGATAAAACCTTTTTTATTTTCCTTTTGGCAAGACATATCTTCCAGTCATCAAATAAGTTAAAGAGAGTGCCAAGAATTAACAGTCTGGCCCCCAAGTCCATGTGAGTTTGCAATATGCATTTCCATTCTTGATTTTGCACAACCATACTAATCAAATGTATAGACAAACTGCTACCAATTGGAATCTATGATTTATATGAAATGTAGGCAAATCCCGCCGCAGCAAAACTGCAACTTGCCTGACTTCTCTAGCTATATAATGAGCATTCTCAACAACTTTTAGACTACAACAATCTAGGAAAACAGATAAACCCAATCTGGAACAGACGAGGATACAAAAAGCTGGTACCTCCAAGTCGACTAAAAGGGGAACAGGCAACAAATTAGCCTCGCTATCACTACCACTGTACCGCTTTCAAGGGACCACACTGGAGAACATTCGAGGTATGCAGGCAAGCACTAAAGGTAAAGGTAACACATCCATTCCAACATTGGAGCCGTGACAACCAATTAGGTTGTAACCTACCACCAATTCCTGTAACAACTGACGAGGCGATGAACAGAGCTCACACAAAGTCCCCGTCAGTTGCCTTTTTCTGACATTTTGTCACTCGTCTCGCAAGGACACGCAGTGAAACAACGGAGTCTTACACGACACGGCACCAGAGTCAGAGAATCCGCAAGAACACGAAAACGGCATCGACGCAATCCGCACAGGCAGGGATAGAGCACCTGAGGTTCCGAATCGTGGCGGACGACGCGTCCCCGGCATTGCGCCTGATCTCGCACCACGCGACCTCCTCCCCACCGCCGCCGCAGGCCGGCGGCGCGACGAGGGAGCAGACCACGGAGTCGTCCTCGGCCACCTCCACCACCGGGCACGCAGAATCGGCGGGCACTGCTAAGTAATCAGGAATGGGACAACCAAACCAAAAAAAAGAATCAAGAAGCCGTGCAGATGAAGGAACCCGTGGAGAAGGAGGGGAGGGGCGGCTGCCCTGCCGTACCTAGCCTGACCCACACGGAGGGGGACGGCGGGGAGGCGGCCAAGGGCTGCGGGGGTTTGGTGGAGGTGGAGCACTCGCCGGCGTCCATGGCGCAGGGAGGCGACAGGCGAGGCGAGGAGCGCGTGCGCGCTAGCTTGAGGGGGAGGCGGCCACTCCGGCCTGCTGCACATGTCTCCCTGCCACCGGCCAGAGAGGGAGGCGTGGCAGCAGCGGAGCTCGCGCTCGCTCTGTAGATCGACGGACAATCGAACGGATGGGGCCGAGGTCCATGAGCACAGATCAAAATTAGGAAGGATTAAATCGGAGCTTTCTCGAAGACGAGATGAGGCCGTCGCCGTTCTGGTCTCCGCCCTCGATCATGCGGCGGCACTGCGCGACGGAGGCGGACTCGCCGAGGCCCCTGAGGACGCGCGCGAGCTCGGCCGCGGAGATGGTGCCGTTGCCGTCGGCGTCGAAGGCGCGGAACGCGTGGCGGAGGTCCTCCTCGACGGCGGCGGCGTCGCCGGCCACCGTCGCGTTCAGCACCGCGAACTCGTCCAGGCTGATGAAGCCGTCGCCGTCCGCGTCCGCCTCGGCCATCATCCGCGCCACCTCGTCGTCGGAGGCCGCGTGGCCCAGGCTCTCGAACAGCGCCGCCAGCTCCGACCGCGAGATCCGCCCGTCGCCGTTCGCGTCGAACTTGAGGAACACGCGCGCCATCTCCTCCTCTGCCGATGTCGCCGCATGACGTGGGTGCGGGGGACAGATTTGATACACTGCCCTCGACTGTGTAACGAGCAAGAGTGAGAAGGGTTAGAGTTTATCTGGAGGGTTCGTTTCGTTTGAAATGTATTATTTTTATTTTTTTAAGATAGATTTAGAGGAATATTTTAGTGGGGGTTATTTTTTATATGGATGTAGGAAAGAAAAGATAGTGTATTAGTAGGGTAGGCTAGATTTTTTTAAGATAAAATGTCACATGGCTGGCATAGAGCGGTGAGCCGGTGAAAGGAGGTTCGTGAGCAACAAAGCGGAGCACGGCTTGTCACTGATTACTGATTAGGGAGGGCGCTATCCTTGTATTCCCTCCATCAAAAAACAATGGAAATCTTGAGGAGTTAAACATAGAAATTTGACTAAATAGATAAAAAAAATATTAATATATTTACACTAAATAATAAGTATAAGTATCAATAATTATTTATGAAGCATATTTTTTATCATAAATTTATTTAAAGTTAAAAATATGATATTATTTTTTATAAATCTAGTAAAACTTACGATTATTTGATTTCTCGATAAACGAAATTTTCTTTCTTTTAGAGAAAGGGAGCCTTGTGCCGGCAGCAAACTAGCCTCTACTCGCTCCGTCCTAATTCCAAAAAGATACAAATCTCGACATGAATCTGGGTGCCCATTTTTTTTATGGAGAGTGTACTTTCTAGCAAGTCCAAAAGGAGACGACACCTGCGTTTGGCGCCAGTGACGGACAGGGCCGTGACGTGCAGCTGTCCCTGTTGACGTCTATAGGGTCGGTGGGACCCGCGTGAAAGAAAAGAAGGACCCGACGATCCTGGAGGACTTCTCCTTCTCATTCTCCTCGTTTTCCCTCCACTGTAACCTATGCTTCCCTTGACCTATAAAAGAGAAATCAGGACGTCCTATAGGGGGCATCACAAGGCATCGAAACACATCCCAACTACCTCATCGAATCGCCAGGGTAATTTGCTTAGCACGCCAAGCCTTTCCGTACTTCACATCATACTTAACGAATCCATATATGGACTGTTGTAAAGAAGACACAGAAATGTCGTTATTGTCATCAACGAGCCCCAATATACGATGGGCAAGGTAACGTGCAGTGAGCTGCTGATGATTTTCCTTCCCCCTATTTGATAGGCAAGTGTGGGGTTCGACAACTTTACTTATCCTCCACTTGCCATCACTCTGTCTCTTTCGTGCATTTAACCTCTACGTACAACCGTTTTTGCATATCACGTGGTACCTCAACTCCTGGTCCGAATGAGTGACGGTGTATGACCTATGGTGGTACACAGCATAGTCCTGAAGGAAAAGCTTCATCTCTGACATTGTATTGAATATCATCCCCTTCCTAAGGGTTTCTTTCTCATGGTCATACAATGATTTCCTACACATCTGGATACCGATGTCACAAACTGCCATATCCATCATGCTGACATCCCTATAGTTCGAACGCCCCTGAAAGGGACGTTCATCGACTTTAGTTGCTCAAGCTCAGGCGTTGTGTAAGGTGGTGGTGGAACATACTGCTGCGCTTCGCTAATTCTGGCATATGAATCATAGAGGGTATCATCTGCTGCCAAATCTATGACTAGTCCACCCTGAACCTGGATACCATGCAAAACCTCAGTTGGTACTGGTAATGTCATAGTATGAACTGGTACTGGCATGGCATCAACCGGTGTTGGCATAGCATCGGTATCTCCTTGGTCATCATTAGAATCGTTTGAATCACTGCTAACTACATCAACGATCCTGTCCTCCTCCTCCTGCTCCTCCTCTTCTCATTCGAACTTATTCACATCGAAGTCATTGCTTATACAGTCTACTACAGTTGAATGAAACTGCTCCTGCGTCAACTGACCGTCCAAATCCATGTTATCCGGAGTTGTTTCCCCTTCGACCCCTAATTCTTGTTCATTGCCCCCAAAACCATCAATGGACGGGCCGTCCTGAACACCCAGCATCATGTACCCATTCTCCACCACCACCTCAGCCATTGGCACATTGGAACCTTGGAGTACCCTAATGTAGCGGGACCAGTGAGCAGGGTCGCGTAAGGGCATGAGGACATAGTGTGCCCTAATCTTTCCAGTATCAAACCTCTCCTTCAGTGTGAAATAACCATCAAACTTTACATTCAAACGGACACAAAGATCGTTGAAGCTAGGAGGTTCATCAAACCATTCCAATTCTTCTTCCATATCCTCAAACATACAATCTTCTCTCATAACACTTCCTCCGTATAAAACTCTAACACAACAATCTATCTGCAAAAGCATTTCAAGAAACTTCATCAAGTCGTCGAAATCGCCGTACGTAATGTCCATGGTAATATTAATACCTATTCTAACTATAACTATACTAACTAATCTAATATTAACATCTATACAAGGCTAACAACAACAACTAATTAGACTAAATTCAATGTATAACTAGACTCACTAACTGTAGTAACTAAACTATCTAGCTTTACTATATATACTAACATACTATATTACATATACTAACTAAACTAACTAAATTTACTAACTATACTAACTATACTTTACTAATTATACTAACTTTATTTATTTTACTAACTTACTATACTAACAATGTCGATTCAATCAACAAATACACTTGGGGAGTACCTCGCGGTGGTGACGCGCTAGATCGGGCCGGGAGGCGCGGGCGCGGCGGGCAGGGCCGACGTGCTGGAGCGGGCGGGCGCGGGCGCGGCGGCCAGGCGGCCTTGCTGTTCAGGCAGGCGGGACTAGCCGCGGGGCTTTTATTCGTCTCTGCTGCGTCACGGATCAGGGCGCGGCACTACCGCGCCAAGATCGGTGGCGCGGCAGGCCGTGCCACATCACCGGTCAGCCTTTGCGGTCGTCGCCACGTCAGCCACCCGCCGCGCCACCTTGCATGGCAATAGGCGCGGCAAAAAATGTTAGTTTTGAAAGAAAAAAAAACAGTGTTAGATTTAAAATTAGTTTAAAAAAAATGTTAAAATTAAAAAAAAATCGCCAGCGATATATTGTGCATCACCTCATGACAATTTGATGCTATGTAATACTAGTATTTTGCCTAGTTGCAATCAGCCGCTAAACATAAGGCCTCTTTACAGGCCAGCGCTTCCAGAAGACCATCACACACACACAACAACACGACATAGCCCCTTGGAGCTTACTTACCACTCTAATCCTTACTAAGAATGTAAGTGGGTTAGCCCATGAGCCTGTGTATTCATTCCAACCTAATTTCCATCAGAAAAATTATATGCAAGACATGGCCTTCGTTGACCGTTTCAAAGTGCGCAATGCTCACCATTTTTTAGACAATTTTAGAAACATGTAACGCGCCTCTGAACCTGAGTGAGGACATAAGCTGCCACTTTTTTTTTAGAAAAAAGATATAATTTCCACAAAAAAAAAACCCTACCATATGTGCTCCTTCTCAAACAATTTCGAATGCTCCTATTTTTATTTAGTAAGAAAACCACATGCTAATTACTTACTCTTGGTGTGTGCGGTGTGCCTCCCTCATTTTTTTTTCAAGGTTTGCCCTTGTCTGAACCTCTTCCTTTTGTATCTACTAGCAAATACATCTCGTTGTTGTAAAAAATGCCATATCATACTATGGACAAGGTGTACAGATAAATTCGAGAGCAACATCTCAATTTTCACATGGCTTTTTGAATCTTTTCTGTAGATCTAAAATGAAGAACTTATTGAATCTTCAAAAATCTGTAATTTTTAGGAAGATGAAAAGATCATTGTTTTTGACATCGTAACTTTTGCATTTTTATAAAACAAAAAAATTCCAGAATGTTATATTAAGTTTCGATTAAACTATTTAGTCCCAACATATATTCCAAAAATTTATTAAAAAACATGTGGACAATGGTATTCTATCATATAATTCTCACCACATGTGCTCCACTTTCCTTAATAAAGCATATGCTCAAAATTAAATTTTATTTTCAAACTCAAATACAACAATCTAGAAAGAAATTTAATTTTAAAAATACAAAAGCTACGATGCCAGATCTAAGCAAAATGCATCGTGCTGAATTAAATGATTTTTTAGTTTGTTTTGGATTAAAAGAAGATGCTGAGATGTAAATGGGAAAGAGTAGTCGGCGATCAGATAGCTGATAGTCCGTGCTTTGACCCAATCGACTGTTCAAGGTCCGACGATCAGATAGACGATTAGTAGTTGCTGCTTGAGCTCTTTCTCCCTTTTCACCAATCCAGATCCCACCTCCATCTCTCAGCGCCCTGCTTCTCCACCGAATCTCGGTCTCTCTCAAATCTCAAGTTGCCAGCGATATTTCTCTAGCCGAGGTGCCCAACGACATGTGCATGG